CATTGGCTATAGATGATTTAAAACTAGTAGTGGACTATACTATTAAACTTGCTCTAAGATTTTTTATAAATGAGATGGTTTATTTGGGGGAAGGAGCACACTACTACTAGAATTTATCGTCTGCTCACAGATTTAGGGGGTGTTTGGGAGAGAGGGGCTAAACTCAAAACCATAAGTCCATATCCTAGAAACTTATGTTTTTGAGAGAGGGGCTGAAGTCTCCCAAACACCCCCTTAATTACTCGGGTAAACGAAACGGGCATCCTCTCAGTGCTGCTTCTCACTTAATTGTAGAACTTTATTGAAGGATCAATTACCGGCCGGAGTCCCAAAAAAGCGTGGGAAAAAAAGACACGGCTAGATCGCGCGCGCTAGCGGCATATCGCTAACCAGCGACGCCCTTCTCTTAAACAGTTACTAGTACACTCAACAGTACATGCCTTTTTTTTCTTCCTAGAGAATTTTCTCCTAAATTACTTATCCGATTTATAATCCGATTACACCATTATGGTTGTTGTAATTAAATCTTTACAACAAGATCTTACACGAAATATCTATGTTGTAAATTACTTTTATTATATATGTAAGCTACTTTTGTCCTATACATAAATTACTTTTAGATTTAAGCTCTTTAATAACTTATATCTTTTAAATCACATATTATTTTCATGATCTATTTACATCATTGTACTCTACATAAAATATGAGATAAAAAAATCCATGTTGAATATATTCAAACATTTCATTAATTTAAAAGTAATTTATTTAAATTGTAGTAGTAACTTAGCTATGCAATAGATGTAACTTAGCTATGCAATAGAAGTAAGTTAGCACAAAATAGAAGTAAGTTGTTACAACATTAGAAGTAAATTCGAGAGAAAAATATTTTGTATCTAAAAATTAAATTTAAAGTCCATAAATTATAGAATTGACTAAAAACTATAATAAATATAATCGACTTAAAGCATTATGAATATATAAAAAGTAATTAATTAAATCTAAAAGTAATTTATATATATGATAAAAGTAACTTAAGTATATAACAAAAGTAATTTACAAGTATAAATATTTTTTCATCGTAGTATAATCATGTAAGATCTAGTTTTGAAGATTTAATTGCAACGAACACAATGGTGTAATCGGATTATAGATCGGATAATTAATTTGAGAGAAAACTTTGTAAGAAGGGAAAACAATACATGATGTGTAATAGAAAAAAAGGCATGCATGTGCGCTGGCTTCTCCACGGCTTCTATGGTTGGCGTCGCCCGATAAGACAATATCAAGAGGCCTCGCTGATTAGTTTTTGCGAAAAAAAAAAAGCATCGTCCCATCGTCTTCACACATTTTACTACGAGCCGTTTGATCTATACCGTCCTTCAAATTGTGATCAGCTTCCAAGTTCCAACCCATCCCCTTCCCGAGGAAAACAAGCAAATTAATGCAGACTAAATTGCCTATATATACCACGTCTAGCACTAGTCATCTCGATCTTGGGAAGTTCAGAAGTAGTCGACCTTGGGAGGTTGAGACCGCGATCGATCGAGAGCTAGCCATGGTGTCGCTGGGATTCGTCGTCGGAGCGGCCGCCGCGGCCGTGGTCGGCGCGGCGGTGAGCCTGCTGCTTTGGCCGGTGGCGGCGCCGGTGGTGATGATGAAAGGTCCAGGCGCCGCCGGCCACCTCATCTCCCGCGTGGCCTTCGAGGCCAACCCCAAGCTCTACTACTACCTCCTCCGCACCGCCGCCGCCGCGTGACGACGTACGACGACGACATTACGTACGCACGCATTGTGATCGTTGCTTGTGGTTCTACTTCTACCTATTAATGCTAGATGCTTTCTTGCATGGTCGAGTATGTTCGTTCGATCGATCGGGATGGCTGCTTGTTTCCTTGTTGCTCTGTAATGGTTTGAAACTAATATATATATAAACGGAGGAGTATTTCAGAAAATTTTCTGTTCTCTAGTTCTCTCGTTCTTGTATTGAATGAGGCCTTCTTGCGACTCTGAACGTCGATCTATATCCCATATCCTAAGCCTCATCTTAACTATGAGTCTAGACACATATTCTTAGTTATAAAATTTATCTTTTTTACAGAGAGAGGAGTAATAGTTGTGATCGATATTGTCATACTCTGTGATGAAGCCAAAGTAACTTTTTGTACATTTGGAGCTTAGTGTAATTTTCTTTTTATATTTTCTTATGTGCGACAAATGGTTTTTATAATGGTAGAATGATTAAACGTCGATAATAAAAAGGCCAACAATGAAGCAATGGAGGCTTCTCTTGAAGTTTCACAGAGCTGCAATTGTTTCATCGAGTAGTAGAACAAATCGAACAAAAAAAAAGTTGACGCGGTTGAGATCAAGTAAACAAAGAGTAAGCAAAATCAACGAAATCTTGCGTGAGAGGGTCAAGATTACCTCCGTAACCAACCAAATTCAGGTTCCACCTAAAACACTTCTGGATTTTTATTTTATTTTATTCGATCTCCTCTTATCACTACTAGGAAAACTATTTTTCGTGGCGGTCATTTTGCGTTTTCGCTAACGGTATTTGGAGCCGCCACAAAGCAAAGGCCAGTGAAGATCTAAGATTTTCGCTGGCAGTTGCGATCCGCTTGCGAAAATAGGATTTTCACAGGCGGACGCTTAAGAGGACCGCTTGCGAAAATAGATTTTCGCTGGCAGACCCTTAAGAGAACCGCTGCAGGCGGATCCTTAAGAGGACCGCCAACGAAAAGATTTTTTTTCCAATAAAAAAATAGCAATCGACCTCTTGAGCAGTTGGATTTTTTTCAATCCATACTCAAAATCAATTCAAATCGGCATCAGATCCATATTCAAATCCACATGCAGAAAACAATACATCAATTTTCACCACATTTTCAACAAGCAAACATCAATATCACAACCGCCGCCCACGCATAGAGCTGTCGATAGCGGCGTCGTCGTCATCGCCGCCACGGTTGTGGTCGACGATTGCGGTCGTCGTCGTCGTCGCCGCCATAGTTATTAAGACCAGACCGGTGATCGAACCGTTAAGTCACTTGGGTCACTGGTTTATTGGTCGGACTGGTCAAACCGTCGGTTTAAAGAGGTTCAAATAGGTGTGTGTTATAGTTGTTTCACAACCCATCACATAGCCTGCTGGTAGAGATTCTCGGTGGAAGCATGGAGGTTTTGGGTTCTACAGCTTTTTTTTACCTATTTTCTCTAATTCATGTGACGCATGTACTCTACAGCGTCGCCACCTCACGTGTGACGCCGTTCAAGCGGTTGAACCACCCCGGTTTTTCTCCGGTTCTGCAGTAAACCGCCCGGTTCAACCGGTTTCTCTCCGGTTTGATTGCGCGCTGATCTTATATCTGAACCGAACCGGCCGGCGCCCTGGTTCCGGTTTTTCCCGGTCAGACCGCCGGTCTGGTCCGGTTCTAATAACTATGGCTGCCGCGGTACCGGGCGGTGCCCTGGTTCCGGTTTTTCCTGGCCGGACCGCCGGTCCGGTCCGGTTCTAATAATTATGGCCGCCGCGGTCAGATCCGCCGCCGCCGCCCACCTGTCGTCGCCGCTACGGCCACCGCTTCCACCTCTCCTCTGGGAAAGGGAGAAGGAGGGGAGGGAAGAAGCCGCTAGAGCCGTGCTCCCGGCCGGCGCGCAGCATCGTCGTCGTCGTCGCCGCGGTCACGGTCGTCGTCGTCGCGGTTGCTCTCATGCCGCCGACCCCGTTGTCAGATCCACCACCGCCTGCCTTCCGTTACCGCCGTGGTCGCCGCCACCCCCTCCCCTCCGGCTAGATCTGGGAGAGGGAGAGGGAGAGGAAGGGGAGGGGAGGGGAGGGGAGGGGGGAGCTCGCCATGTCCCGCAACAACGAGCCGTCGCCGCAACCATCGCAGCACCAAGCCACTGTGGGAGGGGGAGGGGAGGAGGAGGAGCTCGTCGCGCCCCCCGACGGCTCCTCCCGTTGCTGTCGCCGCACCCCCCCGACGACGGCCTCCCGTCGCAGCTACGTGCCCGCCTCCCGTCGCCGTCGCCACCACGCATAGCTGCCGGAGCCGCTGTCGCCACCCGAGAACCCCGCAGTCGCCGCCTGAGAGGAGATGTGGATCTGGAGGGGAAGAGGAGAGGAGGGTGCTTGGATTTGGAGGAGAGGAAGTGGATCTGGATTTGGAGGGGAGAAGTGGAGATATTTTTATTCTGTAGTGGTGGGTGGATAAAGGTATGGGCGCGCGGTGATTTTTTTATGTGCGAATTTTTTTAAGAGCGCCAGTGTAAATCAATTTTGGCTGGCGGTTGATTAAGTGGGCCGCCAGCAAAAATAATTGTAACTTGCTACCGGACTATTTAACCCAACTGCCAGCAAAAATTATCCATTTTTGTTAGCGGCTCATCTAAGTGACCGCCAGTGAAAATGAACATATCTTCGTTGGCGGCCGATATAACATGGTACCCCTCACCCCCTCGTTACGACCATGCTGGCGGTTTTGGTATTTTTCCGCCAGCGAAAATTATTGACCAACACCATAAAAAATTATTTTTCTAGTAGTGTATTTCGCTCATGCTGTGTTTCTGATTTATCTTTTTTTGTGTGTGATTGTTTTTTTGATCAATCTCGTTTTCTTACTCTGCTTGTTTCATCAAAACCACCATCTCTTTTGGATCTTTTCATGGCTTTGACTTGGGCAAATGCAGAACACATGGCCCACACAAAAAAGTCCAAAACGAACAAACAAACTCGGCCCAAATCAATAAATAGCCCAAACAAAATAAGACCTTATTTAGTTTAGTTGGGGAAAAGAAAATTTTTGGGTGTCACATCAGACGTTTGACCGGATATCGGAAGGGGTTTTCGGACACGAATAAAAAAACTAATTTCATAACTCGAAGTTTGAATTGTTTTAAACTCAGAAATAGATTTATCTTATATTTTAAAGTTTTTCGTACAAAATACATCATTTCATTTAATAATTTGTATCATGATGCTCACAAAATCAAGTGGATGATGATCAAGCCCGAATCACTCTCATTTCTTTATTCGATGCGCCTTTCGTCACATCTCCGTTCCATGATTGGAACCGAGAAAAGTGGGTAATCACAAATAAAAACAAGCGATGCCAAACAAAAATGTCCGAAACAGCAGCAAAATCACAATGAAATGAAGCACACGGAAGCAGATCCTCTGACATGCAGTTGGGTCATTGACATGTGGGTTCCACTTTGCTATGGCCCACATGTCAGTGACTGACGACGACGTCGCTGGCCAACTGCTCGATCCGTGTCATGGAACAATGGTGAGCCCTGTGCCACGGAATTTTTCGCGGAAGATGCCGTCCAGCCTCGCTGCCGTCTCCGGCGACATGTGGTTCGCCCAGTCGCCGGCGACGCCCTTCCTGAAGAAGGCGTCGCGCGGCATGCTCTTGTACGACCCCGCCGTGCCCCGCCGGTTCACCTCCAGCGCCTTCATCCTCTCGAAGCTGCACAACTCCACGACGCTCGCTACGGCGCCGGCGGCCTCCTCGGCGGCCGAGAACGGCCGCCCCATGAACCTCGCCATCGCCCTGACGTGCTCGCCGGCGGCGCCGTCGCGGAGCAGGTCCTCGTACCTGAGTAAGAGCACCCGGTCCGGGCGGGAGACGCTCGCCCGCCAGTAGCCGAGGATGTGGTCCCACATCGGCCCGAACGGCACCGTGCCGTCGGCGACGGACTCCACCACGCCGGCGAGCGACAGGTCGGGCTGGAGGCGCCGCATGAAGTGGTACAGCGACACGACCATGTCCTTGGGGTCCCTGCAGATGTAGACGACCTTGCATCCGCCGCCGCCGTCGCCGGCGACGACCGACTCCGGGAGAAGCTGGTACGGCGTGTGCGTGTTGATGAGGCGCGGCGAGGGGAGCATGTCGAGCTTGGCCTCGTGGCCGTCGGTGAAGACGTCCTCGACGAACGGGATGACGTCGTGCGGGTTGAGGCGGAGCAGCGGGTGTTCGTCCGCCGGGTAGGCGGCGCGGGTCATGGCGGCGAAGGCCAGCGCCTTGAGCCACGTGGTGCCGCACTTGGGGTAGCTGGCAAGGACCACGTCGTCGGCGCGCGGCGTGAAGCGGCGGCGGAACGCGATGATCCCCGGCGCGTAGTGCTCCGGCAGCCAGAACCCCTCGTAGAGCCGCCCGTCGAGGTACTGCTCCTTCCGCGGCAGCGCCGCGACGAGGTCGCCGAACTCCTCCTTCGGGAGAGGCGAGCGCGCCTCGGCGGCGGCGAGCGTGCCGTCGTCGTCGGCGTCCTTGAAGGGGACAGGGCCCGTGGCGGCGGCGGCCATGGATGCGAGAAGCAGAGGAGCTCAGTGAGAGTGTGAGACAAGTGGGTGAGTGAGCGATCGATCGATCGAAAATGAATTTTATATAGTGGAGATGATAAGGTGGAGTTGTGCCTTTCTTTGACTTGTTGACTGGTCAAATTTGGACTTTACGGTGCGTGCTAAGCTTGGCGTGCCCGCCAAGGAGGGAGAGCAGCGCTCCACGTGACCACGTGGCGTTTTAATGGGCCTTGATCTCGGCCCATTTCAGCAAGCCCAACAGGCCAGTTCCATGCTTCGATCATGCTGGCATCAAGGGTCTGTTTGGTTGGTATCCTGAATACCATGCCTGGTATTTATTTTCATGCTTGACAGTTCTCCGATGAGTTCTATTTTTTGTGTGATCATGGTACCCTGAACACTTGAACAGTGAACACCATGCCTGACACTTTTCTTCATGCCTGACAGATGAGCTTTAGTTGGTGTTTGGTTGGAGGGACTAAAGTGGGGCTAAACAATTTAGTCTCTCTCACAAAAATATAAGTTCCTATGGGAGGGACTTATGTTTTTGAGAGTTTAGCCCCTCTCTCCCAAATACCCCCTTATTTTTTGCGCAGCCGGGATATTTGATTGTTCGATTTGCAGCTGCCGCCTGACCATGGTATCCTGAACAGCATACCTGAGATTTTTTTTCATGCCTGACAGATGAGTTCTAGGGCGCGTTTGCTTGCTGCCCTCAGATTCGCGCCTGGCTCAGGCGTCGATCTCAGGCGTCCGATTTCGGTCGCCTGCGGTCGGATCGACCTGCCTGAGCAATGGTCTCCAGGCGAGGGCAGCAACCAAACAGCCCCCTACTTTTTTGCCTGGTCAGGCAGGCGGGATATTTGATTGTTCGATTTGCAGCTGCCGCCTGAGAAGTATGATTAGGCGGTACATAATTTTTGCTAAGGGTCCGTTTTGATTCATTTGGAATAGCAAATGGTAAATGGTAAAAGTTTTGGTGGGAAAAGATTTGGCATGTAGTTGGTGTTTAGATGCATCCTAAAGTTTTACCATTTTAGTACCAGAGAGAGAGAGAGAGAGCACGCGCATGGTCCCAGAGCATTTTTGGCAAAATTTGCTACCCTAGACTAGCAAATGACAAATGCCAAATTGCCAACTTTTGCTACTAGTGTTTAGATCTAAAATGGTAAAAAGTGCTCCAAAATGATAAAACTTTTGCCATTTTGGAGGATCTAAATAGGCCCTAAGTCAAGTGATAATCGGAATAAGATGCAAAATATTTGTTAGAGTGCGCAACCTGGCTCACTTACTGTGGGTCACCCGAATCACATTGGGCTCGCTCCGCCACAGGCTCGACTGAGGCCACAATTTTAGGTCTTAAGACTATACAACCCAAAAGACTTGTCTAATGGATGAGACTATCTTTTAAGTTGTGCTTCCCCACCATCAATTATCAATGTGGGATTGGCAAGAATGCATGGCCCACCAAAAATCTATCTGCTACCTAGCTTTCCATGTGCAAATGACAAATCTATCACATATCTAAAGAGGGGAAACAATTAGGAGAATGCATCAAATTAAACTCCAACTTCATGTCAAAGGCTGTGTTCGTTGTGGGCAGTTGAGAACAAATCTCCTGCGCACGAAAAACAGAGCGGTCTATTAGCGTGTGATTAATTAAGTATTAGGTACTCCCTCCGTTTCATAATGTAAGTCATTCTAGCATTTTCCATATTTATATTGATGTTAATGAATCTAGACATATATATCTATTCAGATTCATTAACACCAATATGAATGTGGGAAATGCTAGAATGACTTATATTGTGAAACGGAGGAAGTATTTTTTTTCGAAAATGGATCAATATGATTTTTTTAAGCAACTTTCGTATATAAACTTTTTGCAAAAAAAACACACCGTTTAGCAGTTTAAAAGTGTGCACGCAGAATATGAGGGAGAAGGGTTGGGAACACCCAGCATCGAAGATGGATGAGACTCCTCTAATATTGTGCAGTTTGCAGTTATGCCACTGACATGTGGGCCATACTAAAGTGGGGCCCACATATCAGTGGCACAACTGCAGACTGTACAAAGTTATCTGATTCCATCGAAGACAATACCTGCTGACCTGTTGCGTGCTTCGTGCGGAAAGGCAGGCCGCGTGACCGGAACTCAGCGAATCAACATCCTAGCTAAGCGTCCGCGGCGTCTTCGCGCGCACAACGCCGAATCTAGCAAGCAGCAGTCGGTGGCTTCGGTGCGATAGCGATGGCCAAATCTAGCGCGACGACGACACTGCAGTGGAGCTTCAGGAAACGACGACAGCGGCAGATGGGACGTCTGGGCTTCACGCGGCGACGTACGACAGCGGAGGTCTGGGCTTTTCTCGCCATGACGACAATGGCGGCGAAGGTGTAGTGGTGCTATGGGCCTCATGCTGCGCACAGGGGTCCTCGCTGGTGAGTTGTGATACAAATTCATTTACACACATATAAACACCAACTTCGGATGGAGCGAAGCGGAGGCCCGTCGCTAGAGGCTTGGGCCGGAGCGAAGCGATACAGAACGTTATCCTTTTAGGGTTTCACCTATATATATACTTCCTGTAAGCCGCTGTTCAGTATTGTAATCTCACATAATATAGTAAAGATCTTTGCTGACTGGCAACCGTGGTTTTTTTCTCTCCTGTTTTAGGAGAGTTTTCCACGTTAAATCTCGTGTCTTCGTGATTGATCTATCGTTCTTTATCATTTATCTGCCAATCGTTCTATTGTTTTTTATCGTTTATCTGCCGATCGTTTCCTAACACTCGCTCCAATGGGTTATCATTAATTTATGTTGCGCGCGTGTGCGTAGAGCTCAGGCTAATCACTTGCCCGGGTCCGTCAGGCCAAGGCCGAGGAGAAGAGCTCTCAGTGTGGCAACCAAACAAGGACTAAGATAAGTCAGGCTAGTTTTAGGTCAGGCAAATTCTTATCAGGGTAATAACCAAACAAGCCGCAAGGCCATTGCTTGGGTTCTCAGATTATTCTGTTCTCGTATCTTCCTCACCATTTTTTTTAGAAAAATTCCCTGCGAATTTCTTTAGTGATGTAAAAACGGAGTCGTCATCCTTCCTGATCCACTTGCGCAAGGAAGCTGACTATACATGCACGGTTACAGACTCTAGTCTATCAATACCGTTACAAATGAAGAAACTGCTGGCCCCCGCGTCGCCCGCGCGACAGACTCTGGTCTATCAATACTGTTACAAATGAAGAAACTGTTGGCCCCCACGTCGCCCGCGCGCGGGCGACTCGGGGAGCGGGCGACTCGGGGGAAAACCTAGCGCCCCCACCGCCACTTTCTCCTCCTCTCTCTCCCCTCGCCGCCACCAGAGTGTGCTACCAGAGTTCCGTGCGGCCAGCCGGGATGGCGGCGGCGAGGCCAAGACTCGATGGCGCCCCGTCTCTGTGCGTGGAAGGCGGGCCGGCGCGCGAAGGAGAGTCCGATGACGTGGGGTGGAGGCAGCGCATCCGACGCAGCCGCGGCCGGATCTGGCTTCCTCGTGGGTGGATCCGACGCCTCCACGCCGGATCTGGCTAGAGCGAGCCGCTCCCGTGCGGTGACGATGTGAGGCGGAGGTGGCGGCGTATGGCGACTCGGCGGCTGGCGGCAGCCGGCGCAGGAGGTCGGCGCGCACGGAAGACGCGGTGGTGACTGGCAGCAGAGGTAGCGGTGGCGAAGGCTAGCGGCGGAGGCCACGGTGGCGGAGGTTACGATGGCGTCCGGCGGCGGGCCTAGTCTCCCCCACCCACCCACCCCCCTACGGCCGGCGGTGGAGGCTTTGGCCTCGACAGCTTGTGCACCGTAGCTGGTCCCGGCTGGCGGTGCACCGATCAGCGGCTCGTGGTCAGCTCTGTGGTGCCGGCGGCGGGCTGTGGCCTCGACGAATGCGGTCTTCGGTGCCTGCGACCTTGCCCAGCAACATCTTCCCTCCTTTGTCCTTCCTCCTCTTTGAGGTGCTCTATAACTGTTGACGGAGCGTGAGGCTCCTCACCGGGAGACCGCGCAGGCCCCCCTTTGCCAGTTCGGCCGGGGGCCCTGGGTGAGATTCTAAGCTCCTAGTCTGTATGTGAAAAGTTCGCGATCGTGGAAACACACAAGACACGGGCGATGTATACAGGTTCGGGCCGCTGAGAAGCGTAATACCCTACTCCTGTGTTTTGGTGGATCTGTGTATGAAGAAGCTACAAAATGCCAGCCAGCCCCCGATTAAGCTCGGATCCTTTTTCTTCTTTTTTCTCTCAGTGGGCAAGGTCCTCCTTTTATATCTCAAGGGGATCCCACATGCACCATCTCTCCCTCTCTTTCTTTTGTGTGGGGACTCATCCTCTCTTCCCTCCAATTTGACTTCTCTTCATTAACGGACGGAGATTTGCATCGCCGTCGTCCGAATGACCTTCTGACGGGACGGCCCATACCTACCTCCACTTCCGCCGGAAGCAGGCGCGACGTGGAAACATGGCTGTCTGCTGATGACATGACCATTGTCAGACCGGTCAGACCGGTCATTCTTGTCCACCACGTGTCAGTTTAACAATCTGCATGTTCGCCCTTCTTCATACAATATCTTGCCTGTAATGGTTAGGATGAAGCCTGGCATATATCTGACCGGAACCAACGTGCCATCTCCAGGAGCTAACACGCCGGCTCCGGCTAGGGACGAGTGCTTGGAGGCTCTCGTCCTGACGGGATGGGGCGAGGCGTGCGTCAGACCGCCTGTCGCCACCTAACCCATGATCTGACCGGTCTGTGACTGGTCACAGACCGGATAAACGAGCGCGCTGCACTGCGTTACATGCGGCGTAACGCGCTCGTCCAAACCGCAATAAATGCGGTTAGGTGAGCGCCGTACCTAACCCATACACGCGGCGCAAAATCCACAAGGGGTCGGGGCGCCCCAGCCCTCGGGGCCGAGGCGGAAGCGGCCCAACCCCCTCGGGGAGACAAAGAGGAGGGCGAACACATCACCCTCGGGCCCGACGCCCCCTGTAACGCCCCGATTTTCGTTCGGGATTAAAAATCATTAAATAATGCATTTTCT